ATAACAATTTAATTTTTTTAAAAACATAATTTATTGTTTAATTATATATAAAACTTTAAATGCTGTTTGCTTTGTACAATGAATGAATTTCATATTGTAATGAAAAACAATGAACAGTATATTTCATAATAGAAATAACCAGAAACAATAATTATTAAAAAAAATATGTAGAATATTGAATAAAAATATTATGTTAAAAGTTCTATGATTAATTACAACTAAAAAGCGGAATGAGGGATTATTAAACAAAATATTAAAAAAGATTAAGCTATTAATAAACAATTTAGTAGAATAATTACAAAAAGAAATAATAAAACACTATATAATGTTTACAATCCACAAATTATGAATTATGTGTTTTTTTTTCATATCTTTTTGTTTTACTATTCTTTTTTATCATTTCGATTGAATAAACTGAAATGAGAAAGTTTATATTTAGTAGTTTTTAATTTAAGAATAGATGTTACTCAACTAACTAATATATAAATATATATCATTTATTTTCTTATGGAATTTGTTTGATACTTCTCTTTAAAAAACAAAAAGAATGATTAATTTTGTATCAATAGAATTAGTAACTATTATTTATTAATGGTTCAATAACAAATTTCCATATTTGTGATTTATTTGGTTTGATAAAACTGGTTTGTAGTATTCAGAAAATGTTCAAATACCTTTTTAACACTTACAAAAAAATTATTAGTTAAAAGATGCTTCAATCACTTATTTGATTCTTGTTAAAAGTAAATAGTATTTCATTTCTATTAACAAACAAAAATCATATTAACAACACATAACTTGTTAATACACTCCAAATATTCATTAAAATATTTTAATGAGATAACGGACATCAACAACACGATATAAATGTTGTATTTGTGTTATATACTCAACAAACAACTTCTTTACCTAATTTAAATATCAAATTATTGATATTGTTTACAATTTAATATGAAGTAATTACAACAATTAAATGATTATTAAATCACTACTTTTAATAAAGATTCAAATACAACATAATATAAAAGTGAATGATTAATATTGTTCATTAATAATAGAATATTTATTGATAAAATAAATTATTCAAAAAAGAAACAAAAATAAATGGAAGATTTGTTTAAGTTTCATATTTAACAATTAGAAAGATTAATTCAATTAAAGGCAAAAATGTTGAATATCATAGAAGTGTTAGACATTACTATTTTAGCTAAAAACATATTAATAATATGTTTCAGTATTGAGTTGAATACGTTTTTCTTTATTTCATTTTTCTAAGTTATTTTCAACATCTTTTATTTAATAGAAACAATATTATTTAATGATATTTACAAATTTTTGATTCAACTTAGTTATATTAATAGGTAGTTGGTGATAGAAAATAATAAGAATAAGTTATATCAATTAATTGAATATCAAACAGAACTAATAAATACTAATTATTTTGAAAGTCGTATTATTTAATTCAAGAATTTTGAGTTAATTTAGTTAATAAGAAATTGTTTATTTTTTTTAATTAAGAGCATTTGGTGTTTATTATATTACACTTTAATTACATTAATTATTTAATACTTTTAAAATGTGAATAACATTTAAATGTAATTTAACACTCTGTAACAAAGAATTAAATTAACATATTGTCTTGCAAATAAAATCTATATTAGAATATTTAATACTATTCTAAATATATTTTTACTATGAAAAAAATATAATTATTTTATAATACTTGAATAATAATTATTTACAATGAGGATTTTTGAAGTTTATTTGAGATAGATTATTTTTTGATTTGTGATTTGTGAAATATTTTATATTTTATTGTCATTTTTATGAATGGTTTTTCTTTTCACTTACTTTTTATTGATAATTCTGTGTTTTTTTTTTTGCTTATATATTTTTTTCTTAGTATTTAGACTATTGGACGTGTGATTTGGTTTGTTATTTGAAAGTACTTCCACAAGAGGGATATTAAAGATAACAAAGAAGAGAAAGGAGTGATAGATTAATAGTAAAGAGAAGAGAAAATGGAATAAGTGTTTTAAATAAACAAATAAAATGAATGTATAAGAAGAAATAAAGAAGAATAAAGAAAGAATGAACAAGAAAAGTTAAAGAGAGAAAGAAAAGTATAAAAGGAATAAAGAAAAGAAAGATCAGAAAGAAGTTGATAAAATAACACAAAACACTTTATGAGATAAGAAGAAAAATGGACAAGAGTATAAAAAGAAATTAATTAGATAAAGTAGACTCAGATGGAGAAGAATCATCAGGAATAGAATTTACAACAACAGGAGAAAGAAGATGACGATTAGAAGCATTTCTATCACTCATCACTTCAAATTGGATTGGAGTAGCTCTAGTAGATGTTTCTGCAAGATTAATTTCTAATTCAGGATTTAAATCAGTTTGGAGAGGTGAATTAACTGATGATAATCCAGAGGCACACATAATAATCTTTTTCTTAGCAACTCTCTTTAATTCATCAGCACAACCTGATTGTTGAACAAGATGATTAAAGATAGTATTTTCATTATCAATCAAATGAGAAGGAGAATCATTTTCTACTAATTCACCTTTATCAAATACAAACACTTTATTAGCATCCATAATACTTTGTAATCTATGTGCAACAGTAATCACTGTACATTCATTGAAACTCTCTTTGTTTGAAACTTACAAGTTTATTGATGTGTCAGAAGAGTAACATTATCATGGTGGTTTATTGTCAAGAACATAAAGTGTAAGGTCAAACTAACGAAGAGGTATTATGAGACATTAACAAATCAATAACACAATGAAAATCTATAAATAAGAAAGACTGTCTCATCAAAGTGATGACGTTATTACTTTCATTATCTAAAGAATAACCTTTCAACACAGATGACAAAATGTATGGCTATTATTTTAGAAAAAAAAAACATGGTATTTTGTATCAGAACAATCCTCTAATGAAGAAACTAGTTTATTAATTCTTATATTGAGAAACATATAACTTTAAATAAGATAAAGAAGTATCTAAATAAAAATTATTTATTTACTATTTTAAGTTTTTCTTTTTTCTATAAAAAAATCAAAAAAATACTGAAAAGGGTGTTTCAAAACTTGATTAACTATGTCAAACATTCGATTTGATTTTATCAATGAAAATAAAGAAGCACGTCAAAAAGAAAGATCACAGTTGAGGACATCAAGGAGGGTGCAGTCTTTAGCAAAAAGGAGAACAGAATATCAATCACAAGTTCAAGAAGAGTCAAAAATGGAAGAAGGTGATGAGGATGATTTTTTGGTTCGAGGAACAGGGAAATTACAACGTCAAACACAAACAATAGAATCACCAAGTGCACGTCGGCAACATACCAGATCTATTTCTTATTTTGCTAATTCTTTGGTTGAATCACAAAACATTCCAGAAAGAGTGAAAGAGTTATTAGAACAACTTTTTCAGGGGATAAAATTAAACGGATACACAAGTTACAAAGTTATTGAAGCAACAGGAATTATTCCAGTTCTTGTCAATTTCATTAACCATCCAAACTCATCAATTTCTGCACTTTCTCTTGAGATAATCAATCTACTTCTACTTGAGTCGTCAGATTTTGTCACTGGATTTATTAATGAAAAGATAGTCTATGCCCTTTCACATAAAATAGAAACTGCACCAACTGAACTAAGAATTACAATTGTTACACTAATTGGAAATATCGCTGGTGATCGTGCAGAAACAAGAGATTATCTCCTTGGAGAAAATGTTGTAAACTTGATTCAAAAATTAGTTAGTATGTATAATAATGTAACACCAATGAAAGAAAGATTAATGTTTTTGATTTCAAATTTATGTCGAAGTCAACCATTTGTAGATTTAGAGAAAGTACAAATGTTACTTCCTTACATTTTTTCTTCAATCAAACAAAAGACATTTGATAAAATTATGGCTGATGCACTTTGGGGATTTTCTTTTATAGTTTCTAACCCACAAAATATTTGTAAATTTCAGGATTTTGAACTTTTAGAAACTATTCTTTCGTGTTTGTCAACTACAAATAACGATATTATTGGTGCTATATTAGCTGTATTAGTTAGTTATATTGACAATGATATTTCTTGTGCGAATTGGTTAATTGAACATAATGTAATAAATTATTTAAATACCATTATCCATTCACAATGTAATAGTAAAACAAAAGTTCATGCAGCTTTTGTATTATCTGAGCTAGTTCTTATACCAAATACAAAAGTAGTACCAACATTAATATCAAGTGTTTTTGTTGACTTACCACCTTTAATTAGTAGTAACTATAATGATTTTGAATTTAAAAAAGAAATTGGATGGCTTGTAACAAATTGTATTTTATCAATTAAATCACCAAAAGATTTACTTACATTATTATCTATTAAAGACTTTTATTTAATGTTCATGCTATTCTTTGATGATGACAATACAAAATTTATTACTCAACTTCTTAGTTGTGTGTTTATTCTTTCTGAATTTGATCAGAAAACAAATTTTTGTCATCATATTATTGATAATTTACAAGAAAGAAATCTTGACAATATTCTTTCCTCATTTGAACTCTCTAAATTCTCTTCAAATTCTTTAGTTCTTGAACAACTAAATAAAATTAAAAAATCAATGAAGTATGTAACATCTTCATTATTTTAATATTCATTCATAAATTGGCTTTAAAAAATATCAATAACGTTATTATTGAAAAACTAATCAAAATTGACTCCTTCGTTGATTATATTTGATTTGTCTTGTAAAATATGAATTTATTATTAAAGCTCTGAAGTGAAATTTTGTACTAATGCTGGATTATGTCCTGTTTTCTTAAAAAATACACTTTTATTTCCACTTGAAGTAGTAGAAACTCGTGACTTTGTTATTGGTGTTTGTTGTTTATCTCCAACGGTACTTTTTGATCCTAATACCCATTTAGAAGCTCTGTTGTTAGCTACATTAATAGATGACATAACATTATTTTCTTCAGTATCTTTACTTTCTTCTAAAGTAGTACTTTCTGCCTTTGCTTCTTCATTATCTCTTATTATATCATTTGTATTTTCAATTTTAAACTCTTCTTTCGTACAACCTTTTGCCTCAGACATTTCAGAATTTTCATTCTTCTTTTCTTTTTCCTTCACTAATTTCTTCGAACTAGAAACTTTGCTTAATCGTCTATCGTCTGGGTGATTTAAAGAATATTCATTAAAACACACTTTACAAACACGTTCTAAAACAGTGCTCTGAGGTGTAATTGGAATTCTTCCTTTACTACATTCTCCACAAATACATTTACCACATTTTCTACAATGATGTCTTCTATTAACAAAAGTAAATTTAACTTTACATAATGCACATTCAGGTGAGTCACTGTCAGGAACAAAAACAGGACGAATAAATTCATCTTGACTCTTATCTCCTATAGTTTCTTTAGCATTTTTTATTTGTTCACTAATATTGTTAAACCATAATTCTTTTTCTTCTTTACTCTTAGCAAATACAACAAAACTACGTTCTGAATTCATTATCTGAAATGCATTTTGAATTTTGTCTGTATCTTTATTATCTTTAATAATTGTTGATTTCATTTTAAATACTTCACTGATTTGTACAGAATGTTCATTTCCTTCTCCATATATAAGAATATCATTAAATAATACAAAATATCTCTCCTTGTTTGCTTTACGACATACTTTTGTTAATTCACCTTCTTGCACAAAAAATCTATGAGCTTGAACAATATCTTTCTCACATTTTTCTCCTTTTTTAGCAATACTTTCATTAAAAGCAGAGTAATTTGTTAAAACCTTCTTCATTCTAAATAATGCTAATCTTCGTTCTGATTCTTTAATAGACTCATTTACATCCTTAGTTACTTCCTCCATTTTAATTAATGTTTCATTAAGAATGTCATAATCTTTGTGGTCTTTTGGAGTATTTTTTTGAAGCTCTTTTAATAATAATACATATCTAGGTAGTCTTTGAACTGGCATAATTAAAAATGAACGTAAGTCATGTTTAATATCCCCAGGTAAACTTTCTCTACATTGTTCAAGTAATTCATTCATAGCTTTATTTTCTTCCCAGTCAGCAATAATATTAAATGCTTTTTCATTATAACTAACGAATTGTTTATATGCTTTTAAGAAAGGGACTATTGTCTTAAACTTAACTACAATAACATCTTCTAAATCTTCATTTTCATCCTCAGTCATTAATGTTTTCTTAAGTTGTTCATTTACCGCAATAATTTGATCAAAGTCTCTAAAAACATCATCAACTTCTTCTTGTTTTGCTATTTTTGATTGCTTAAGCACTTCGTGATAGTACTTCTCACAATCTTCCAAAGACTTGACATAACTAACTTCTGTAGTTAAAATTTCTTGTGCTACACGTTGTCGTTTAGTTAGTGGCTTTTTGCTTTCTTTCGTGATTCCTTCCATTAAAATTAATTTAAGTTCTCTTTGTTCGACTTTATTCTTTTTATTTCAAAAAGTATTGAGTTGAAAAAGGAGTATAAAAAAGAAGTTTTGTTTTTATTCATTTCTTTCGTTTTAATAAAAGGAAAAAAACATTAATTCATAAACAAGAGAGAAGAATTATTTAAGAATGATTAAATTCATTTAATAAAATAATATACAAATACCAATATTTAAAATATTACTTCTTATGCACCCTTCTTTGATAATCGATATACATTCTTTTATATGTTTCAATACTTATTTTGCCTTCTACAAGGAGTTGATCAATATCTTCTAATGATAAAGTACTAACATCAGGTAATGGTTCATTTTTATTGACTTGTTGTTGTTTAAGTTTTTGAGCAATTTGACTAAATTCTTGTTGACTTGTAGTAGAACGAAGTGTTTGATGTAGTGAAGGATCAACTTGAGGTAAAAGTTGATGATTATAGTCAAAATGGAAAGCAGAATTAGGATGTGGTTGTATTCCGTTTGGTTTTGGTAATAGACGAAATTGGTTATACCCATATTGATATAAATTATTTATTTGATGATAATCTATTGGGTGTTGACAAAAAGGAGAAGTGTTATATCCGTATTGTGTATAGAAAGGTGGGCGTTGTTGTGAATAGAAAGGAGAACATTGATATGAATTTAGAGGGAAAGGAGGTTGAGAGTTAGTGAAGTTTCTTTCTTTCCATTGACTAGTCCTGTCATCAGAAGGTCCTTGTTTTAGTTTTTGAATTTGTTGTTTAAGAGTAGATTGGATTTCTGAAAGGTTTTCTTTTCTTTTTTTGAGAGGAGGATAATTTGAAAAGTCAAGTTGAAGACAAACCAAAACGTCTAAACTGTTTGAAGAGTCATTCCATCGTTGTAATAAAGGATGAATAATAGTTCTATCATCCATAGCATAAGGATGTTGAGGAACAATAACCATATCAGGAGAAGGATCAGTAAAGAAGAAAGGGGGTTTCATAGGATAATCATAAGGAAACATTATCATAATAGGAATATTATAATTAGCACCTAAGTATTGAATTGGAATTGTTCCAACTAATGTTGCGTATTGTAAATAATTAAGAGGATGAGGTAAAACTGTTGGTGACATAGGAAATGCTTTTTGAATTGCTTGTATTTCGATTTCTATTCGTTTAAAGTATATATACATTGGTTTTATAGACAAAAAAATTTGTTCAAGAGTCGGGACATTCATTATTATTCACTTTTCTAAATTCTTTAGCTTTTCCTTTTTTAAGTTTCTTAGTTTATGAAGTTAATCAATTTCTTCTTTCTATTTTGGTTTTTTTTTGTTTTTATTTAAAATAATTATTTTTTTTTAAATAAATTATCATAGAGAAGTTCGGGATAAGTTTATTTTTATTTGGTGAAGATCCAACAATAGACTTTCCTCAGCATCAGAAGATTTTGGAAATAAGTAGAAAAGTTAAATTATAAAAATCAAAAAGGAAAATTCCTCATTTATTTAAATAAGTAAATAAAACATAACATTATTTTATTTTTAGAAAAAAATGTTATTACATGAAAAAGGAAAAAGGTTTTAAGAAAAAAAAAAAAGAAGAAGACAAAACTAAAAAATAGAATAAAACAAAGATGTCAAGGGCTGATGCATTATTTCAAATACTTAATGGACTTGGACCACGAGTAGAACAACAATTATTTTTTATTTTAGATTTTCAAATAAGTTATAAAACTGATATTTGTACAGTTCCAGTAGAAATATGTATTAAACCAACATTATTAAATGGAACAATTAATATTGAATGTTTTCAAACGATTATTAATCAACCAATTCCAATTCAACATTTTCTTAATTCTAAACATTATACTGATTTTGAACATGGAATTTCACAAGAAAATAATCCAGTTCCACAAACTGATTTTGATTTTTTATGGAAAAAAATTAATACATTTATTAAATCAAATATGTCAAAATATAGCGATTCTTCAATGTTACCAATTATTATTTGTACACCATTTATATCAAGTGTTCAATGCGTTGAATTTTTAGCTTCTCAAGCTAAAGTCTCTGATGTAAGAAGAAGTATTTTTAATACTATGTTTTCAGTTGATGATTTTGTTGAATGTGTTAATAGATTTAAAGAAATTATTCCAAATACTAATGCAATTTATAATTTCTATAAACCTTTGGTTTGTTGGACTTGTAATAATGATTTTAAATGTGACTTTCATAAATCAAATGGAACTAGAACTTTTTGTTGTTCTAAAACAAATTCTGAATATTTGGCTTCTACACTTTGTGATTTGTACAAAACAATTAAATCAAAAATATTTGTTGCATCAATGCCTTCTCAAGTCCAATCAATGGTTCCTCAACAACAATTATATTATTGATCAATTTTATCCGTTTTTTTTTTTAGTTTATTTGTGTTTTGTTTTTTGTTTTAATTCATTCAAAATTATTTAAAATTCTTAATTTTCAAATTAAGAATTTTACTTGCTAAATATATTTATTTCATTTAATAATCATTTTTTTTTTAAAATAACTTATTAAAACATAAACTTATAGAATTAATATTTATTATATTTTATTATACTATTCAAACGCTTTTCAATAGAAGAAACAAAAAGATTTATCTTTATACAACTAATTGATTTTATCAAATAAATCAATTTTAATACTTTTATAATAGTATTAATTCACCTTTTTTTTTGTTAATTATTTAATTTTTACAAAAGTTTCTTACTTAAAATAAAATATTATAAATTACATTGTTATAAGTATTGTTTTTTACTTAGTTTTTAATGTATCAAGTTTATTTTCATAAAACATTTTATTATTGTTTATTTGTTAATTAATATTCATTTATTTGTTATTATTACTTTCATGCTTTTATTATTTTATTACTTAACAATTTATCTGTTATCTTTTTTTTCCATATTTCATTCAAATAAATTTCATTTATTTTGGATTAGTCAGTATATTTTATTATTCAAGAGTTGGTTCTTGATAAAAATGTTTTAATATTAACTTAGTTTTTAGTCTAGTATGAAATAGTCATATTGGTAATTAAGTGTATTGATTACAAAAATTATTTTGAACTATAAGTTTTAGATTTGAACAACAAAGCAATATTTGGTGAAGTACTCAAGATAAAATATAAACTATTTAAATGAAACTTTTAACAGTTAAGGAAGGTTGGTAGATTATTTTAAAAATTATGGAAAAAAATCTCAAATAATTAATCAAATGAGTAACAACATTGAAACTGAACAATATACTCAACAATCACTAGCTCTTCCTGATGGTTGTGAAGATCCATTACATCCATTTCATGACATTTATATTTATTTAAAAAAAAATGATGAATGTAGAAATGCATGTTCTCAACAATGTCTTATTTTACCACAGACTCAAACTGAACCACATTTACCAATAAATAGAATTCCTGATCCTGGAGCAAATTTCAGAATAGTTCCAGAATTTCTCTTTCTTTATAAAGACAGATTCATATCTCATCGTAATGAGATTCAATCAATCATTTCAAAATTACCATCTTCAACTTATCCATTTCCGTCATTTGATGAATATAATAAATTAATCAAACAATCTCCGAAAGTTGAATATCTCGCGTCTTTTCAGAACACACAAATTATTGAATTACTTAATTACTCAAGAATTATTTGTAAATCAAAAACATCATATCCTCATGTATTCTTAGAATGGCTCTATGGCCTTTTGTTATTTCTTCAATCTCCTTTTGAACCAGAAGTTTCTGCTACTCTTAATAATATTTTAAAATATCTTTGTCGTGCGAAACATGCAATTCTAGATCCATATGATAGTTCATTACCATCATATAATGTTATTATTGCAATTATTGGAATATATTATGGGGAGGCATCAGAAGATGATATTCTTTAATTTGATTAGTGTTAATCTTTTTTTTTTAAAAAAAAAATCTAACAATTTTCATATTAATATATTTTTAGAACATACTTTCTAGAACTTTCTATTGATATAAAAAGAAGAACTTAAAAATGATAATTACACAATGCCTCACGAATCAATAATACTCGGAAAAAACCATGAAGAATTTCTTAAAAGTCTTGGATTTTACCAAAAAATTAAAGCAGATAATCATTGTGTTTTTAGAACACCAAATGATAAAGTTATTATTGATCATATTGTTAGTCCAAATGATGATACAAGAATTGTTCTTCGTATGTTTTTTATTAACTTTATTAAATTATTAAAAGTAAATAATAGACCAATGGAAGAAATTGCATCATTAATTCCAATTCAAGAATTAAATTCTAATGGCAAACCAGAAATTGTAGTTGCAGGAGAGAAATTAGAATTTGATCAAGATTGGCATAATCAATTACCAACTGACCAAATAAATCGTTGGTGGTTAATTTTTGATTTTGCTTTTAATCTTTCAAAGAAAATTTAATGGTTTTATTTAATAAAAAATAAACCAATCATTGTTTGTACAATTATTATTTTTTGGTTTTTATTTTTTTAATTCGTTTGTATTTTCTTCAAAAATATATTAAATTCTTTGTTTTGAGTTGAGTGAAAAAAAGAGAAGAAAATTATAAAAATATTATTCTTTGAAAAATTTTTATGAAAACTATTTTCTTACTTCAATATTTTAAACTTAAACTTTTTATTCCATTTTTATAAATTTCATGAACAAATCAAAACAGTTAGACTCATATTCAATACTCATAATTTGTAAATATTTTAAAACACCTGAAGATTTTATTAACATTATTTGCGTTTGTAAAAAATTTAATGAAACATTAAAAAAACTTAGGTTTAATCCAATTTCTATAATAACTAAAAAATTATTCCCTTTAATTCAAACGCAATATTTATATTTTCCAACAGATGAAAGAATCCCAACAATTGAATTTTATTGTTATGACTGTAAAATAACTTTCTCTAGATTCTTCTTTACTTCTAATAAACAAAAAACTAAATTTAAATGTATTGAATATACACTAAATGATCGTATGAAATTTGGTAATAAAATTCCTAAATTGATTAAGTCCCTTGGCAAAGGATTGTTTGCTGATTCAAATTTTGAAAAAATTATCCCTTATTCCCCTCCTCCTCATTGTTCTATCTGTAATAAACTACATAACATTGTTCCAAATTCTGGTATTAATGAAAATCCTCAATTAAATCATTCAAAGAGTAAAAATATCTTATTAAATCTCCAACTTGACTCTCTTGAAGATAACGTCAATGAACTAACAGACCAACAAAAAGAAGAAAACAAAAAGTTCTTACAAATACCAAACTACATCCAAAGCATTGGCTCTGAATGTTTTTTAAATTGTTCTTCATTAACATTTATTAAACTGTCAAATACAATCACAGAATTAGGAAACGGTGCATTCAAAAATTGTGCTAAAGTTAGTCATCTTATATTGTCAACAAATATTACTTCTTTACCACCAACGTTATGTTATGGGTGTCATTCTCTCTCTCAAATATCTTTTCCCCCTTATTTAGTTTCAATAGGTGATAATGCTTTTGCTCAATGCACTAATTTAGTATCACTACAATTACCTCAAACAATAACATCAATTGGTTCTTTTGCTTTTTGTGGTTGTTGTTCTCTTCGTTCAGTTAATATTCCAAGTATTAATAAAATAAATCCATACACATTTAGCGAATGTTTCTCTCTTTATCAAATAAGCATTCCATCCACAGTAACTGCAATTGATACTTGTGCTTTTAAGAAATGCACCTCATTAACACAAATCGGGTTATGTTCTTCTCTTGTAAAATTTGGGGACAGTTGTTTTTATCAGTGTCATTATCGTTTGTTTAAGGATTATATTCTTCCTGAACGATGTTTTATAAATTATAATTAAGTAGTTGTTTCTATCTCTTTATCTAAATATTTAACAAAAAAGTAAATTCAAAAATATAAATGACTGTCAATTACCAGCTTTTAGAACAAAAACCTAATGAAGTACAAAGTTGATTTCCAGAAGCAGGTAAGTCATGTGATAAGTCGATGAGTTGGATTTTCATGAAACTTTCTAAACAAAGTCTTTCATTAGGAGAGGATTGACAATAATTAAGGACGTTTTTAGTAAGAAGATGTTGAGAAGTGCCTTTAGCGATTTTGTCAATGACGTAATTTCCAATATTTTCACAGATAGAACAGATTTGCTGAAGAGAGTTTGTGTCATTGACAATTGAGATTAAATATTTACCGTTTGGATTTCTTAATTCTTTGATGAGATTATTGAGAATGACATTTATGTGTTTATTTTGATGACGCCTAATTTTAATATCATTGGTAAGGGATTTAATGTTGTTGTCATAGAATTTACGGGATATTTGACAAACAATTGTATCTCTCATCTTAAGAAGCTTTTTTATTCTAATTTGATCAATCTTTAGTTTTCTTTCAAAAAGATGATTCATTTCAAGTAAATACTTTTCAATATTTCTTGCTTTTTTAATGGCTTCTTCACCAACTAATTTTAATTTTTCTTCTTCTTTCTTAATCTTTTTGTAAATTTTATCTCTTCTCATATAAAATTTAGGACTTAATTTTCCTTTACATTTAGATACTCTTTTACTAAGATTTTGTGCTCTTCGTTTATATTTAATTAAGACATTATTAATTACATCTTTTTTATGAATAATAACTTGTGCTTCATGAATCATTATTTTTTCAAATTCTTCAATTCTTTTTCTAATAATTTCTTCATCATATCTTTCAACTTTTTGTTTCATTGTTTTTTCAATTATATTTAATGGTTGTAAACTTTTATTAATGTCTCGCATTTTATTTGTTGCATTTCTAATTTCTTCTTTAGTACCACTATTTGTTTTTTTAATAATTTTATTAACTAGTCGTTGAATTCTTTTCTTTTTATCTTCTATTATTTGGATTTTTCTTTGAAGTTCTTTTCTAATCCATTCGACATTTTCTTTTCTTTGTTGTTTAATTTCTTCAATTTCTTTTCTTCTTTCTTCATTTCTTTCTTCTTCTTTTTTAATTCTTTCTGAAATCTTTTTAATTCTTTCTTGATTTTCTTCTATTTCTTTAATTCTATCTTTTGTTATTCCTTTACATTTCTTTCTACTAATGTCTTTATTCCTTCCTTTGATTATATCTTTTCTTCTATTTAATAAACTTATTCGTTTTTCTAAATTAAAATATTCAAATTCTAATTCTTCAATCCTTTCTTTTTGTTTGATACTTAATTCTTCTTTTGCTTCAATAATTTCTTTTGTTTTTTTCTTTCTTTTTCCTTCTTCTTTCTTAACTTCTGAAATCGCTTCTTCCATTCGTTTTTTTCTTATTATCTCTCGTTCTTTTTTCATATATTCACTTCTTCTTTCTAAATCAATAATATCCCTTTGTATTTGTTTGATTCGCATTTCTCTTACTCGGCTCTCTTCTAGTATTTTTCCTGTTTCTAATTCACTTAGTGTTTGATTTCTTTTTAATACTTCATATTCTTTTTTCGCTCTCTCTTCACTTATTTTCTTTTCTTTTTTAAGTTCTTTTCTAATACTTTGAATCTTTTCCATTATACTACTAATCTCTTCTTCTTCTTGTTTTTCTATTTTGTTTTTACTTTCTCTTATAATCTCTTTTTCCGTTTTAATCCCTTCTTTTATATTACTTTTCTTTTCTTTAATTCTTATTTTTTTCTTTTCAATTTCTTTATTAATATCTTCTCTTTCTTCTTGGTAATATTCTTTAACTGCTTCTACTTCACTTTTACTGATTTTATTCTCAATTCCCTTCTTTTCATTTTCCAGTTTATTAATATCACTCTCAAGCATTATTATTTCTTGTTGACTTTTTTCTCTTTCTTCCTCTATTTCTTTCATTCTTTTTTCACTTCTTTCAATAACACTTTCTACAAATGATGGCTCTTTAATATTATTAACAAGCTCTTTACTTTTCTCTTCAAGTATTTCAATTTCTCTACTATCTCGGAATATGGTGTCTTTCATATTATTTAATCTTTCTTGTTCTTCTCTATTGCTGCATGTTCGATATTTTGAAACCTCACTTCTCATTTTCTCGCTTCGGTCTTTTAATCCCTTTATTTCTTCTTCTATTCTGCAATATAAAACAGTTGAGATTTTTTTTCTTCTTATTTCTCTTAATAAATGTTCAATATGATACCTAGGCATTTTATTTCTTGTTGAGTTAATCAATTCTCGATATTTGTACTCTCTTAAATTTAATTCATCCAGAATTTTATTCCCAAGACTGCATGATTGATTTATTTCGCTTCTTTTCGTGTCTGTTGTGTTTGTGGTTATTTCATTGGCATAAATAATGACAACAAAACCAAATAAAATGAAAAGACTGCTTCTCATTGTTATAAAATAATATGATTCTTTTTTTTTTCTTCCTTTTTTTCTTTTTTTCTTTTTTTGATGATTTTTAGGAAATTGAAAATATGAAAGAAAAAAAGAGAAATAAGAAGAATAGAATAAAAGGAAAAAGGGTTAAGAGAAACTTGAAAAGGAAGAATGTTATTGTACTACTGTGATAATTGCAAACAATATACTATGAAAACTGAATGTCCACAATGTAATGGGTATGTCCGTAGTGCACATCCAGCTAAATTTTCACCAGTTGATCCATATTCAAAATATAGAATTGCCACTAAAAAGGAGTTTGGACTTCTTCCTACATCCACAAAGAATTGATTGGTTTTCGTTTTTATTTGTTTTATTTTTTGTATTTCTTATCTGATTATCATCTCTTGTTTCTAACACTCAATGTTTTATTCTTCTATTTCTACTTCTGTTTTTCATTGGAATAGTTTTCTTCATCTTCTTTATTCTTGTGGATTTTCTCAATATTCGTTGTGCGTTTGTCACAAGTGTCATTCTTTTCTTCTTCTCCACTTCTTTCATTGTTAGCAAATTTTTAATGTCATCTTGTTGTTGTAGTTTTGTTCTTCATTTTCTTGTTGTGTATGGTTTATTTCTTCTCTTATTCTTTCTTCATTTTCATGATTTTTAATTGAGACTTGTTGATATTCTGAGATTTGTTTTTCTTTATCTCTTATCTTCTTTTTCATTTCATTACTTTCATTCTTCAGTTTCTTTCTATTAGTTCAGAGACAATGATAATTTCTTCTTTGTTTCTTATTTCAATGTCTTTTTTATTTCATTTATTTTACCTTCTATTTCTTTATTTTTCTTCTTGTACTTTTTATTATTCTTTATTTCATTACAAATTGGTTGTTTCTTTTTATTTGTATATTCTATTTCTTTCTCATGCTCTTTTCTAACTATTTTGTGCTTTTCCCATCATTTCATTTGAGATGATTTGTTCCTCTTTCTTTTTTATTTGATATTCTTTAATCTCTTCTTTTATTTTCTTAATTGGATTTTGATGTGTGTTTATTTCTTCTTAATCACTTTCTTCTTTCTTTTTGTATTTTCTTTTGTTTTCTGTGTTATTTATTATTCTTACAGCTTTACATTTATCTTTTTCTTTTTGATTGAATATACTCCTTGTTGATTATCATACCTTATTTTCTTTATTTTCCTTTTATCTTCTTTACTTTTTGAGTATTTCTTCATATTCTCCTTTTTCCCATTCACTTCTTATTCTTTTTATTCATTCTTGTATCTCATTTATTGTTATTCATTTATATTTGTTATTTGTATATTCTTTATTATTATTGTATTTATCTTGTTTTTTATTTGTTTTTCTTTGTGTCTTTCTCTTTGTATTTATTTTACCATTCATTTTATTGTGCCATTTATTGTTATTGAAATTCATTCTCTTGTATAACATTGAATTTCTATGTTTTGTTTGCTTTTCTTTACAATACATATTGATATTACTCAATAATTACTACAATAACATTTGGTATGTTCTGCATTGGAAAAGTATCTAAACAACAAAATAAATAAAAATTAGATATTTATTATTTCTGTCTAAACGATAACCATCAATTGCTCTTGACTTAGAAATACTCTGAATGTTTATTTCATTTGTTGACAGTTTCTTCAATAGTTAAACGATTTGTAGTATTTATTCTTGTATTTGGTCCAACAAAACACATGACTTTATTTGCATTTATAGTAGTAATTTGTGAATTAGAACTATTTAAATGTTCAACAATACCACATGTCAATGTGTTTATTGTACAATTAATTAAATTGAAACGCTTACAAACATCATCAGTAACTAAATTATCACATTCAACGTTTGTTAAAATGATAGAATTACATTTTACTTTTAAATATTTGATTTTACCACTTGTTACATTAAAAGAATCAAATGTATATTCTCCAAAATCCAATTCTTGTATATTACCCAAACTACAATACAAATGTTTATTTTCAAATGAAAATTCATAAACTTCATTTATTTTTATTTCTTTATCATTGCATTTAAAAATGATAGTTTTTGAAGCATTATTATTATTATTATAATTATTATTGTTATTAATGTTTATAAAATAATATATGTAACCAGTTTTAAATGAAGTAATTTTGTTTGTATCTACATAAATTTCATTTTTCTTAAGTAATGTATTGTTATGATACCATGTCACTTCTTCATTGGAATTATTTTGAAATACTTCTAATTTATCATCATATATATCCATTACTTTTCCTTGATAATTAGATATTATTATCTTTTTTAAGTGACATTTTGAAATATCAATTGATGCTTTACAGCTGTTAATTATTAATGATTTTAAATGTGGAGGAATGATAATATCAACATTTTGTTTTTCAACGTCTTGTATTGATAATGATTCAATTGATAATGGTGTTAAATCAATTCTATTTCCTTCATAGTCATTCAAAACATTTTTAATTAAAATATTCTGTAAATTGTTCTTTACAATTATTTCATTGATTTCATTGATTTTATTGAACACATCACTTTCAATAGTCATATCACAATTATCTATTAAGAATTGAGATTCATATGGTAATATTGGTAAATAAGGACAATTCATTGTTGATTTATTAATTGTTCTTGTGTAAAATCTACAATTAATGAATTGATTATAATCCATTTGATTTAATATGTTAGTGTTTGAATATGTAATAATAAAAATAATAATGAAATTGATTTGGTTATGCTTATTAAAATCAAATGACTTTGAAAGAAGTTGAAATTCACCAATACTACAAATAATAATTACTTTTTTTAATGTTGGTAATTCAAATAATTGTATTAATGCATTAATATCAATTCCATTCATAACAACTAATTCTTGTAATTGAATAAAATAGTTTGGATGTTTTTCTATTACTTTTTTACAATAATATCCATCTATTCGTATTTTCCTTATTTTGGAACAAAACCATTTTGTGTTAAACACTTGTGTTTGTTTGGATTGTTCATTCCATCCTCCTACTTCAATAAGTGGAATATCATTTGCTGTTATTTTGTATAATCTTGATGGACATCTTCTAACATAAAATGTTTGTAAATTAGGAAATAATGGAATAATTTCATCAAATGAATGATGGATTGTTAATTCATATGGATTGACATAAATCGTATTGATTGCTTCTTCACATGATTTACTTACTTGTGCAAATCTCCCTACATCTTTTAATGTTGGTAAATACAATAAAACATTCTTTAAAAAGACATTTTCTAAATGAGTCATTATTTGTTGTTATTTAGAAGTTTTTGTTTTTTAAGTTTTAATAAAAATGAGGAATATTTCTAATATTAGAAATATTATTTGTTATTTCATAACAATAATCAAATTATAAATAAATGATGATTGATTTTCATTTGAAATTGAATAACACAATATCCATTAATTAATTAATTTATTATTAAATAACTTTCTTGTTATTCAAACATTTTCATCATTTCATTTTTAATATTTATAACATTATTCTTTCATTCATATTAATACGATTAATTAAATATTCAATTAACAATAATTTGATGAGAATTGATTTGAATTAATCAGAAATAATAAAATAGAAATAAAACACAATAAACATAATGAATAGAAAAATACTATTCAATATAATATTCATTGAATTAATATGAATAACCACAAATCATTTGATAATGAATTGGAATTATCTTAATAAAGTAAATGTCTATGTTAGAAGAGAATTTGTGGTTTAAAATATTCATTTATTTAATGTTTGTGATATTTCTGACATAATATTTATGAGTTTTAATACAATTGAAAAGAAGAATAAATAAAATAATAGAAAAGAATAAATAAAAAGAAAAAACAACAATATCAAAAAGTATTGATTTATTCAATATGATGAAGATAAATATGAAATATCATTTTATCAAAATAATAAATAATGAAATAAATTTAATATATTAATATTTTCTTTATTTTTATTCTATGTCTTAATTATTTGTTATTTTATTATTTCTGTTGATTTCTTATTCTATTAGATACTTTAAAAATAATATTTCTAGAATACTATCAACTA